GGGGGGGGAGTGCTGCCTGCTAACTAACCTCCAGAAATAAGATTATAGGTTGTTGGTTTTTCCCCCCTTTTAATTTTCAGAACTTTATGTATTGTGAATGCATTACATTTGTTACTAGGGGAAAAAAGCCACACACACACATAATGTTAACCTCAGCAGGGTAAAAGGAGAGAGGGGAAAATGCAGCTAACAGTCGATATTTTTTAGGATTAAATGAGATATGTTTTCTGTGGCACCTTCTACTTGGTTAGTTCTCAGTCTTAACAAGATGAAAATGTCTTTGTATGATACTTAGCTTCAATTCTACTTTTATGTAGTAGAATTTATTTTTATTGAATACGTGTCACTGATTTTTACCTGATTTTTTTCATTGAAAAATGTTTGGATGGGTTCACCCCCAAGATTTCACATTTTCTACTCATTTTCTTTTCATAGCGTAATACTTTATATATCCACATTTTTTTTCACATTTTTTATTTTTTATTTTCTTATAGCTTATACATTGTAGTGGAAAATAACTTTTTTCTTCCTGGAATATACTACTACTATTACTACTATTATTTTGTTCCTTAAGGGATAATTAATATGCTTAGAAAATAATGAACACCAAATGGAGACTCTATATGCTTCAGGAAATTGTTCAAGAAAAACTAGGTCCAGAAGTTTTGGGGGATAAAAAAAAAAACTTCATTAGGACATTCAAAAATGAGGGTCAGGAAGTTCAAAGGATTTTAACTCTGAATCTATAAAGTGGCCTTTCTTACCTAAGGGTTGTAGTCACTTTGTTTACGTGGGTTTTGGTTTGTTTTTAGGATATTTAGAGTTCTTGTTTTCAACCATTCCTTACATTTAAGGCTTACTGTAGGATAAAATAAAAAATAAAAGCACTGTTGCTTTTGTCTTTTAAAAAAATTAGAGATACACTGTGTCATATTTAAAAAAATAAATAAATCTAATATTTACTGTACTGCCAGAAAGATATCTCTAATTTCTCAGAGGCAGAAATTGTCTTATCCACAATACAATAAGCACATTCTTGCGTGGGGCAGCCAAGTCAGTAAATACTTGTTGAATAAAATGTATCACAGTGTAATATCCCTGAAAGTGTAAGCATTTATTTATATTGTGACCAACTGGGAAAATACTCAGAATGTAAAACTAAAAAAGTGTTTCTACAAATGTATTTGCTTTTTCTCTATACAAGTATTTTAGGAAATTCATTTTAAGTACCATTTTAAACAGAGAGCTTCTTTTGTCCTCAAGTAATTAACATAGAACACTATCTGCCAACACTTGCAAATTGTGCCTATTAGCCTCATTTCATCCCTTAAGAAGAAATTCTACATCTAAGAGAAAATAAGGCACAGTGAACAGAAGGACTGAAAAACAGCTTGGGGTCTTTGCTGTGTCCCCTAAACTCGTTAGGAATGACTTGGAAATTTTATTTATTGTCCTATATCATTTTTCCTAATATAAAATTAGAAGTAGGGACATATGGTTAAAATATGTCCTCATTTTGTCATATGGTATTGTGACTTAGTAAAAAGGATCATTTTATTGTAACAAAGTTAAGCCGATTATTATCTACCACCAAGAAATTGCTTTCCTCCCACATTTAGTGGGTCTTTTCCTGAATATACCATTTGGGCTTGCACTGTCTTTTAAGTCATATAAAGCTCACAAAATCTTGTTTTTCCTTTTTAAAAGTGATAATCTGAACTAAATAAAATGTCAAAAAGCCAGGAACAATCTAGTTTAGTTCTACTTTTACAGCGTAAAAATGGAACGGCCTTCCCTCCGTCCAACATTCTGCCAGGTGACTGTAGAAGCAAATACAAATTACAAACCTTGACCTCTCCTCGATCAAAACCCACCTCCTTTCTTCTGAGTTCACTCATGTTCATCTCCCAAACCTTCCTTCCGTGCCAGGCTTCATCTTCCCCAGTTTGCTTTTGTTACCACCTCATTTTTTTGCACGGCTGAATGTTTTAGAGGGACTCAAAGAGCCTTTTTCAGAAGTTACCTATTCCCATATAATACAGAGACTAGGAAAAAAGAACTGATGGCTTTTAATAGGTAAATAGCAAGTATATATGTATATGTATTTAAGTTTATCTTACTTTAAATAGCTAACCTTTTTCATATATTTTATTACATTTAATCCTCACAATTACCTTACAAATAGATTGTGCAAATGTTATTACTGTCATGTAATCAGCCAACATCAAAAGCTAAACGCTCAGCTAAGTCTTAGGGTCTCATATGCAGCAATCCTTCCATTATAAGCTACGTGATATAAATGCCTTTTCTAAGGAATTTACTTCACTGTTTGCATTAGATGGTTTTTAGGCCCTGGAGTACCTCTAGCTAAAGAAACTAATTTAGGTATCTAATTTATTTAATCATCACCACATGATACTGTTTTAATGAGGTTGCAATTCCATGTCAAATGATCTATTAAAAAATCGATCATACATAGCTAGAGTATTTTATTATTTAGACTTAACTGGATCATTACATATGTAAACTAAAATGGAATCATTGTCTACTATATACTTACGTCATTGATATTTCACTGCATTAACTCACCAAATAAATTTGCAGAATCTTATTTTTTATTCTTTGGTTGTAGTGATCTAATTCTTTTTTTTTTTTTTTAACTTGTTTTAACAGCTAAATATTATCTTCCTGGTGATCACGTTGTGCAAAATGGTGAAGCATTCAAACACCCTGAAACCCGACTCGAGCAGGTTGGAAAACATTAAGTAAGTGTGTTGTATGTTAGTTTTAGTGCTTGACAAACTAAGTGAAAGATACTCTCCACAGGGAATACATGAGTACCTTCTATCAACTGTAGAAATTATTCAGAATGAGGTTTTATCATTACAAGGTTGAGTCTCACTGTGACCATGTCACAGACATTGGTCAAAAATTAGATACTAATTTCTGTCTTGACCTAGAGCCAAGAAATTGTTTCAGTAGCTTTGTGGAAATTCCATATCATTGTAGCCGTCTCATTTGAATTTAAAGTGCAGTTCAGAATGATGTTCCTGTTTGCATGGCTGATAAGATTATATTCGGTTTGTTTTTGTTAAATGACTTTTTTGATTTAAGGATCCTGAGCAGTTTCTAATCTTGCTTTCTTAAGAGAATACACTCTATTACTGTTGTTAACTTGGAGATTATCTGTTGTTTTTATGATAATTAAATAAATGTTTAGCGTATTTCAATGCCGAATAAAAACTGCAATGTACTATCAGTGGAAAAGCACTATCCAGTTAGCAAAAAAATTGATAGCTGTTGACTCCTGAGTCATCTTATGGAAGCATTGCCAGTTATTTTTTAAGTACGAGCCTTAATTTAAATTTTGATGAGATATTATACCAGTTGGGTATAATGGGATTGCAAAAAAATATATATTATTTTTAATGTAAAAAAATGGCAGATCTATAGTAAGGGTAATTTTTAAAAAATTAGATGTTTTAGATAGGTTAGTCCAGCCTCATTGCATGTTGCATGGTAAGGGAGAGAGCTAATCTTTAGCATCTCTCTTTTCTCCCCTTTCCTCTTTCTGTCGTCTCATCTACACCAGTAATTACCGTGTTTGTGATGGCTACTATAATACGGACTTGCCTGGGTAAGGTAGAACCCTACATTAACAAATTTACGGCATGATTTATATTTTTACATATCTGTCAGTGTCATGAATTGCCCTTAATTCTTATAATTATTTTGGAATATCTAATTTGAAACAGTATTTTAAAACTATAATATGCCTTTATTTTTTTGATTGCTTGCCTCTGCATTTTGACTTTCTTAATTTTGACTAATTTATAAAATATATAAATGCTTTCTTATTACTTTCTATTTTAATTCTGCCTAATAATTTTGTTTCTCTTTTCTGCTTATAATGCTTTCTAGCTATGAAGATAATAAGCCATTTATCAAGTAAGATCATTAGTTAGACATGGAATGCACCGACTTTAAACCCTTCTCATTCCGTCCTATTTTCTGCAGTTTTTTTCTCCTTAAGCTGTTCATGATGAAATCTCTCCAAAATTATTTTATTTTCAAGTTGTTCTCATGGTTTTTTTTCGTCCCATTTCAGCTAGGCTTCTTCATGCTTTAGTTATAAAACCGTAGGTTCACCTCAGATTAGTTTTTCAGAATCTGAAGTCTAGGAGCCGATTATCTGCCATTTAACCTTTCTGTATGTGTCACATTGTTCGGTGTCATGGGTGTCCCACAGAAATAAAAATACAGGAGTAAACTAATGAAGGACTCCTAATTTCTTATACCAAAATGCACATAAAAGGCAATAAAGTCCTGAGGGATGTTTTTGCACCTGTACTTTCATGTAGTTTTGATGCCTTGTTTATTCTGGAGTAAAAAAAGGTCATACCTGCCGTTGCTGTTTTCCCTGGAGGCTGCAGTCCCAAACGCTGTCATTCTTCCTTGAATCAGTGAGAGGTTAAAGCCAAAACGCTGTTGAATCTGAATGTGAACATAGAGAAAGTCAACTGCTACTACTGACCCGTTCATATTTAAGTGTGATGTGCGCCGTGCCCTCGCTGACCCTGTGAACAGGACTCCCTTTACTTTTTCAGGTCCTGGGTGCTCGGCGCGTTCGCTCTCCTGTGTCTCCTCGGCCTCACCTGGTCGTTCGGGCTGCTGTTCGTCAACGAGGACACTGTGGTCATGGCCTATCTCTTCACCGTGTGCAACGCCTTCCAGGGCTTGTTCATTTTCATCTTCCACTGCGCCCTCCAGAAGAAAGTAGGTGGCCTCCTCGCCGGCTCCGCTGGCTGGCTCTTTCATTGGAAATGATAGATACAGTAGAGAAGATGCTAAGTTACAACCGGCACATTACTCAGTACTGTTATATGTTTAATCCTAAATTAATTGTCGTGCGTGCCTGGAAATTCAGGCTTCACCTGTAAAAGATGTCAGCCATCAGTTTTTGGATCTCTATTTGGGACTGTTATAAACTAGATATTTACGTTAAGATGTCTTCTTTGCTAGTGCGGTTTATAAAAATGCTTTATGGAAAGGGTATACAAGATAAAGAAAGGGTTAAATTATCTTGTTCTTTGCTCGAGGAAGAGAATGCAGTGGTCCAAAGTGAAATTTAGTAAAAGGGTAAGTGCCCTTCATTTAAAAGCACTCTCCATACAAAAATTTAACATTTATGTTGCCTTTCGAGTAATTTTAATGGGACTAAAATTTAGTAATTGAATATCTCACATTTTATTATTGAGTTCCGATTTTTATATTAAGTGGTGTAAGCAGAAATGATTCAAAAATTAATGTTTGTTTGGAGATGAAATACGTCCATCTGTTGTAAGAAGATATAAACCTACGAATAGTTTAGCACCATTTAAGTTTAAAATTTCCAAGCGTTCCACTAGGTACCATCTTTTCCCTGTCTGCATATCCAGTGCAGTCTTTTTATTCTGTCATTACTAGTTGGTCACTTAAATTGAACAGAGAAATAGAATTGCAAAAGTGAAAACTATTATGTTTTCAGTCCTGACAAGATGATAGTGCTGTTACTTCCATCAGTTTTGAATAAGCTATAATTTTGAGATAATAACAGTGGAATATGCAGTACTGACAGGTAATGTACATTCACAGCAATATAGGCATTAGGCAGCACCAACACCGGAGAGTATTATTTGGATAAAATACCATTTTGATTGCCATTGTCTTGATTATAGAGCATTTCAGAGCAGTTAGTAGCCATTAAATGTGCACACAGGTTTTGTAAGGTATCATGGGTTATTTAATAACATTGAATTTTAAATTTCTAAACATTATTCAGGTATAACCTTTGTAATTACTTTGGTTTTTATATATTTCTTACTTTATAAATGAGCATTTTGTATACATGCCTATGATCACATTCATAATTTCTGCCAAATTATTTTGAGATAAAGCCTAAACATAGCCATTATTTCCTCATAGAGTTATGTGTATTAATTGAACAAAGATTTTGCTATGCTTTTTAATTAGAGTTACATTTAAAAACATCATGCAGCACTTTTGAACATGTTCTGCTTACTCTTGGATACATCCTATTGGGTGTGGCCACTATGACTTGTTAAGAATGTGATATAAACTGATTTAGTTAAAATCATGGTTCTTACTACTTCAGTGAGCATATTTAGGCAAAGAAAATGCTTTGAAAGTTCAATCCCATTGTTAGTTATTCTAATAAGTGTAATTAAATAAAGCTAAGAGGAAAATGCAAGTGCACTTAGATTTAAAAGGTCATCTTAGTGACTTTAATTATCCAATTTTGCAAGTAATAAGTGTCAGAATCATGGTCTTTGCAGGCAGGTAACTGAGCATAGAACTGTGAGTGGGGGAAGCCTTTGAGTGTGTTTTTGTAACCTGCTCAAAAAATAATTTCTTATGCAATATCTCCTTTTAGTCTGTCTTGTAATTTCACAGTCTGGCTCAGCCTCAGCAGTACATGTTTATATGGCAATATAGTTGCATAGAATCCCAGGACTCTCACCTACTCCTTCCAATTTTGTACCACCTCTCCAGGTGCCCTGTTATTTAGCGAGTGTTTGGACTTCTCTTTTATAGTTTACTTTAAACTTTCTTTTAGACCTAATAACTTTTCTATCTATTCATATATCCAAGCTTCAGGGGGAAGAGGGGAATTACACGGGTAACTCATTAATGGGAATGGAAGTTGGATAAGTAGTTCCTTTGTGCTAATGAAGTGAATAGGCATCTTAGACTCCATACTAAATGCTAAAGCTAGACACTTCAGAAAATGCAGAAAACATTCCCTTGTAATTAATGGCATATTATCAAAGTACTTTTTTTTCTTTATTCTTGTGCCAAAATAGTCTTGTCATTATAAAGAAGTTACCCACAAAAACTACGACGCAATCCAGTAAAAGAAGTTTATGTATATTGACCTACCTAAGAGGATATGAAGCGTATAAAACTTAAGTGACTGAGTTACGAGTGGTTAAATGTAATTAAGCAAGGAAACATTTTGTCCTATTTTCTTAGCACGAAATATAAAATTGGGGTTACTAAGTATATAGACAAAACAAGGCTTTTAGAATATTACTACTGTATTAATAACATTTGCATAATAGGTTATAAAGTATTACCACATAGTATGTCACAATTGAAAGATTTCACTAGCCAGTGCTAGCGGACAGAGATATTTTCCCGATTTCAGCAGTTTCAGTTGAACTTGTTTTTGTCAGTTCAGTTTATTGTCTGCACCGAAAAATACCTGTGGAACTCTTGGTTGCCGCCAGTGCGTGTTTAGTTGGGGAGAGGGGGAAGCAGCGGTGTCTGTACTGATGCCTCGGCCTGGTTGCCCATCGCAGGTGCGGAAAGAATACGGCAAGTGCTTCAGGCACTCGTACTGCTGCAGCGGCCTCCCGACCGAGAGCCCCCACAGCTCGGCCAAGGCGTCCACCAGCAGGACCAGCGCTCGCTACTCCTCCGGCACGCAGGTAACAGCCTC